GGGGGGGGAGATATTACTGATGGGAACCAGACCCCAATTCTTTAAAGGTTACCACAAAGCTATTCATAAAAGCAGGCGGGGAGAGAAAAACCTGGACAAATTGCCAATGTCCACTGACAGGAGGATGTGTAGATTGATGGCGGCAGACCCCTGTGGGAAAGTATTCAGCAGTAAACAAACGCTTTGCAGCTAATTCACTTCAATACAGATGAAGCTCACACGGATGACGTAAAGCCCAAAAGGGAGGAGCACGTTGAGGAATTCCACTGCTGCCTCCCAGAGACCACCATATATGCCAGTGGCTTCCCAGTCATACACACACACACCCCCGCCCCGCCCCCGAGTCCCAGGAGCCCAGTTTCTGGTATGATTCCATTTCTAGGATGTTCAAAAGTTGGGAAAACTAAACGATATATTTAGAGATATATACGAGGAGGTTTCAAAAGGGTCACAGAAAAACAGAATTAAAAGACAATGGAATTTTCCCACACATTTTTTGAAGCCCCCTTGTACATGTGAAAAGAGCCCTGGTGGCGTAGTGGTTACATGTGGAGCAGTTCGAAACCACCCGCAGCTACGCGGAAGATAGACTGGGCTTTCCAGTCCCTAAAACAGTTACAGTCTCGGAAATCCAGAGGGAGTCGCTATGAGTCAGCATTGACTCAATGGCAATGAGATGTATATGCGAGACGCTACAAAAAAATAGTAAAGGACCAAAAAGCAAAAAAGACAGGATCATGATTATGGGGACAGAGGGGTTGCCATGGAAAGGCACACAGGACTTCCTTAAGGTCTTTCTTAGCGCGCTGGGAGGTGCATAGAGGGGATTATTTTTATCATTATTCCTCAAGTCTTGCACATATGTCAAATAAACTACATTTAATTATATATAAAATATGTAATTTTTAAAAACAATCTCAACCCCCCAGTAAGCACAGTATGACGCATGCACACGGGTTGGCAGGCTTTGAGAAGTCATGCAGGCGGCCCAACCCGGCTATAGTCACATACAAGCAACTGCACATGCTCACCCAGACGGCAGCTCATGCAGTTACAAAAGCCAAGTCACCCAGATGCATTGGCAGCACCCTCCTTCAAAGCACAATGCAGCACGGAGACATCATGGCTCCTCTCCCCGAAGCCGCAGCCTCAGGAACAGACACAATTTGTCTCCAGCACTCGGTTCAAGGTCACCCAAATGGAATATGCGCAAGAGGAGGCGAAGACCACTCCCTCCCAAGCAAGCATGAAATCTCGCTGCTTCGCACACACCAGCACACAGACACGCCCATACGCCATAGCAGCACACATCTAAGGTTCACCAAGGCACACAGTGTCGCTGAGAAGGAACCCCTTGGACTGACCAACAGTCACCCAAAGAAGCACTAGCGCATCTCACATACTACACGCTCAGACGCCCAGGGACCCCTCTGCAGGGACACACGGGAGCGGTCGCATGCAAGGACACGCACTTTCAAGGACACGACGCACCCCTGTCATCGCATCCCGCGCACATCTTCACTCACCCGCCCCATCCCACTGGCAGCTCGACTGGCGGCGGCCAGAGCACCGCCGCGGACCCAGCCCGCCCACCACAGCCCTGCAGCAGAAACGGCCCTTGGCGCGCGGGCACTGCCTGGGCACAGACTGGGGGGCTGGACTCTGGGTCCCCCTTGCCAGTCTGTCCACACATCCCAGGAGCTGGTCCTGCTAGGGTGAAGGAAGCAGGTGACACCGACCCTAGCCGGCCCGTAGCATCCTCCTCCCTGCTCCCGCCCGCCCCAGGATGGGGCCGCACCTTTACGGGCCTCGCGCCAAGAGCAGGGAGTGGCCGAAGTAGACCCAACAGCAGCAGCACCAAGAGGCCTACGCCCCCGGCCCGCGGCCCGCAGAGCAGCGGCGACCCCGCCATGCTGCCCCAGCGAGCCGGGCTCCGGACGGGCGGACTGGCTGGCAACTGCGCGGCACCTGGGCTAGCCAGCAAGGCTGGGGTCCTCTGCGGCTGCGCGCTCCCAGGAACTGTGCCCTCTCCTGCCCATCCCCTGTCGCCACTCCACGCAGGCGCAGCTTCCAGTCTCTGGCAGCCCCTCCATCCCGCCGGTCACCATGGAGATGCCCTAAGGGCTAGGTGAAGAGATGGAGCCTGCCGCGGCGGTTGCCATGGCAGTCAGAAGGCAGTTGCCAGGGCAACAGACTTTGCTGTTACCACAGTAGTCACACAGGAAATAATGTTTCCACTGGGGGGGGGGGGGTAGTGCAGTCCTCACTTCTCCCTCCTTAGAGAAAAAAAACCCCAAACATATTCATTGCCAGCGAGTCGATTCGGACTGATAGCAACCCTATAGAGCAGGGTAGAACTACCCCTGTGCATTTCCCACCAAGAGGTGATTGCGAACTGCTGACCAACTAGGGCTCCTCCTTCCTTGAAGAAGAGGCATACATCTATTGCTTCCTTTATTGAATAAACAATTAAGGACCCTCACATGACAAGGAACCTGTAGAAGCTAAGACCAATCTCTGCCCGAACATCAGCAAGTAATGGAAGCCCTCAGTCCCACAACAGGTCTGAATTCTGTCCATGACCTGACTGGGTGTAGAAGCCATTGCCCCCACCGTCAAGACTCAGCTGAGACTGCTCCTTGTGAGACTCTGAGCAGAAGATCCAGTGAAGCCATTCCCTGGCTTCTGACTCACAGAAAGTAATATGTTTATGATAATAAATGGGTGTTGTTTTAAAATTTTAAGGTTATTGTAATATTGTTTCAAAATCAAAACAAGCAGCCATCTCAGTGAGGCGTTGACTAAGTCCACAGACTAAGAAGAAGCACGCTAGCCTGTGTGATCCACGGATTGTAAATAATCCAAATCTCAAGGAGGGAATGGCATCAGAGTTTAAATTGTGAACACCTGGTTCGCAGAAGGCTGTGGATGACAGTGGAAACCCAAAATCCATTTTTAGGGTCCATACATGAATCGAGGTTTTTAGCTGTTTTACTTTGTTAGTCTTGGTAGGTTTGGTGTTTTTTTTTAATAATTCTTGCTAGTTTTGATTGTTTGTGTTTTAAAAGCTTTTTCTGCATCTGAAATCCAGGATATGTAAATCTATAGAGACAGTAACTGCATGAATGGTTTCTTGGAGGCGTGGCAGAGGAGCTTGGGGGGGAATGGGGAGCTAATAAAGATGAATACAAGAATGAAGAAAATGTTCTAAAACTGATTGTGCTGATGATAATTGTACAACTCTTCTTGATGTGATTGAACTATTGCATTGTATGATATGTGAGTTATATGCTAATAAACTGTTGAGGAAAAAAAACCAAATCTACTGCCATCAAATCTAGTCCAACTCATAGTATACACAGCAATTAACAAACAAAAATCACCTAATATAACCAACTTCTACCAAGTTAACTCTAACTTATAATGACCCTTAGGGTTATCAAAGCTGTAAATCTTTTTTTTTAAATCATTTTATTGGGGGCTCGTACAATTCTTATCACAATCCATACATACATCCACATCATTCTCAAAACATTTGCTTTCTATTTGAGCACTTGATATCAGCTCCTCATTTTCCCCCTCTCTCCACACTCACCCTCTCTCATGAACCCTTCATAATTCATAAATTCTTATTATTTTCTCATATTTTACACTGTCCGATGTCTCCCTTCACCCATTTTCTGTTGTCCATCCCCCAGGGAGGAAGTTATATATAGATCCTTGTAATCGTTTCCCCCTTTCTACCCCGCCTTTCTCCACCTTCCACATATCACCACTCTCACCACTGGTCTTGAAGGGGTCATCTGTCCTGGATTTTCTGTGTTTCCACTTCCTATCTGTACCAGTGTACATCCTCTGGTCTAGCCAGATTTGTAAGGTAGAATTGGGATCATGATAGTGGGGGGGGGGTGTAAGTATTTAAGAACTAGAGGAAAGTTGTATGTTTCATCGGTGCTACCCTGCACCCTGACTGGCTCGTCTCCTCCCTGCGACCCTTCTGTAAGGAGGTGTCCAGTTGCCTACAAATGGGCTTTGGGTCTCCACTCTGCACTCACCCTCATTCACAATGATCAAAGCTGTAAATCTTTATATCAAAGCGTAATTGTATATCAAGAAAACATCCCAGCCCAGTCCAGATCAAGTCCATTAGTCTGATATTAACCCATATGTCTGACACGAGTCCATTGGTACAATGACTCTGCGTGGTCTTTCATCGTTTTTTTATGCTTCTTGCATCATTCAATATTTTGCCCTAGAACATTTCAGTATTGGAACTTGAGGCTTGAATGTTTTCTTGAGTTCTTTCAGCTTAAGATATGCTTAGTGTGTTATTTCTTTTTGGTTTTCTACCTCTAGGTTTTTGCACATTTCATCATAATATTTTACTTTGTTTTCTCGAGCTGCCCTTTGAATTTTACTGTTCAGCTCTGTTAATTTCTTACATTTGCTTTAGTTACTCTATAATTAAAAGTAAGCTTCAGAGTCTCTTCTGACATCCACTTTGATTTTTTCTTTCTTCACCGTCTTTTTAATGACCTATTGCTTTCTTCATGAATGATGTTCTTGACGTCCTCCCACAGCTCATCCAGTCTGCTGTCATTAGTGTTCAATGCAGCAAATCTGTTCTTTAGATGCTCTCGGAATTCAGGTGGGAGAGACTCAAGTTCGCATTTCGGCTCTTTTGGATTTGTTTTTGTTTGTTTTTTATTGTTCTTTTTTCTTTGTGGATTTTTTTGAATATTTTTCAATTTCAACCTGAACTTACATATAAGCAATTGATGGTTTCTTCCACAGTCAACCCCTGGCCTGGTTTTAGCTGTTTTAGCATCTCTATCGTCTCATCCCACAAATGTAATTAATTTGATTTCTGTGTATTCCATCTGGAGAAGTCCATGTGTATAATCACCGTTTGTGTTGTTGAAAATTTTGCTATGAAGAAGTCATTGGTCTTGTAAGATTTTATTATGCAATCTCTAGCTTCATTTCTATCACCAAGGTCATATTTTCCAACTACTGTTCC